TAAAGAGGCGGTTATTCCCTCGACACGATTTTCACCCTGCTGGCCACTACCCACTATAATGGCGAGCTATGTTTTCAAGAACAATACAGGGTCAACTACCCGACTGGCACCGTATGGCCGAGCCAGGTGGGGGTCGTATTCGCGGTTTCGGGAGAAGTGTTGTATTTGCGACTGGCAAAGGATAACTAATTTTGAGGGAGTCACATTTGTGGAAGTTGAGTGGGGCGAAGTTAGTGGGTGAAGGGGTTGTTTCGACGGGGTTTTGAAGATCTTAGGGAAACCTCTCAAAGAGGTGATGTAGACAAAATTAGAACATGAATCATCAAAATTAGAACATGAACGCCGTTTCTTTAGTTATATTTTCTCTTTACTATTTAATAGTTTTATAAATATTTACTCTTCACCCCTGCTCCCTCGGCCCCTTCCTCCTGCCCTTCAACAACTGTTTTGAAGAGAAAGAGCGGATAAGTTGCAGTGTGTCAACTTTTCTGAGAATCCGATATAGAATCATCGATGGTAGAGAGTGATGGTCGGGGTTAGAGAGGGGTCGTAGAGGGACTCTACCCAAAACTAATGGTGTGATGGGAAGTCCTGCCAACCCCCCAGAAGGGCTCGTAAAAGTCTTCAAAATCGGCTTGGTGCCAGAGTTGACGGAACGATGTGGCATGTTCCGTCACTAACGTGACCTCGACATAAAGCTCTGATGATGTTCCTATCCGCGCACAAGATTTACCCGCCTCCGTATGGTCACCCTAACTGTTGGTCTTTATCCAAAAATGCTCTAGCATTTTCAGCAGAGAGGCAGATCACGACTACGATGCTAGGGTTATGTTGGAATTTCGTCTAGCGCCCTAAAATAAACGGCCGTGAACGAATTCATTCATCTCTTTTTTTAGCGTTTCCCTTATTTTTTTTCACAGCGCTGCTCAGAACTTCACTTTTTTGTTTTCGACCGCTTGCCGATTTGTCGTATCCACTGCCTTTAGTCTTGCAGCTAATAGTAACAATTATGGAGCATAGCTTTCAAATTTGCTTTGAATTTTTGCGGCAATCTATTACGATTGAGTAATAATCCAACTTATATTCGACTAAATCCACTCATTTCAAAATATAGTACTTCTTGGAATGAAAAAATCGTTCTTTTTCTGGTTGGTACTTTTGGTTTATCAACAACATTTCAGAGAGAAGATATCTTCATCACGTCGAAGGTGTGGAATACGTTCCACTCAGCACCAGCCTGTAAGGTCAGTACTCTTGGATTATATTTTGTAAACTCTAATGTTGACTAAAGGTATAGGTAGATAAATTCTCAACGAATTTGGACGTAAGCGGCCATAATTACAAAGGTTTAGTCAGCCGTAATACTTGTTGTCATCCCAGACTTTAGGCGTAATTTTCGTGCTGATTACGATCACGATTGGTGGGTGGCGAGTGATAGCCAATCATAGGTTGTGGTGACCCGCATTGTTGGGCTACCTGCCACAGCAGTGAAGACTCAACAACAAATTTTTTTCTTCTATTTTCAGAAACACGTGGTTGAAATCCTGAATCAACTGCAGCTGGACTATATTGATTTGATGTTGATTCATTGGCCACATGGCTACGAAGAGGGTGGCGAACCCTTCCCCAAGGTATGGTTTATCTTACTCAGGCCGTGGAGGATTCGATCGCTTGAAAAACGAGAGAGCTCCCTTTTCCTGTGGATCTTTTCACGTTGAGGTCTGTTCCAGTAAGAGAAGGGAGTGGGGCATGCAGTGCCAATAGCCCGTGCCGGCTACAGTAAGTAGGCGGCACGAGCTGTTGCAGCAGCGTGAAGCCTCCCCCCTCCCCCTCTGTTATTCCGAACTAATTCTCCACGTTTCCAAACTACTTCCTAATGATATTCTTCTTTGAATGATTGACCAGGGGAAAGTCTTTCAGCGACATGGAGCCGTTTTCGAAGGGTTCCCTCATGTTTGGGGGGCTCGTGGCGAGACACTGAAACGCAATGAATGCCACTGGGAACTCCCAGTAGGCCGTCGCGCGCGGCAAGAAGGCAGGGTCGGCGGACGAGTTGCGGCGCGTGGTGTGCGATGTAGGACGTGCAGTGGGACCAGGGTCAACCCTATGTTGCTACAAGTAGCAACGGGGGGTCGTATTTTGATGAGTTTGTAGAGGGGGGGTCGTACTTGCTTCGGTTGTAAGAAGTTGCATGTGATGAGTGGGGAGTGGCGCGGGAGAAAATTTGCCGTTTCAGCGCGCGTATACCCCCCCCCCCCCCGCTCGACGGCATTTTTGGAGGAAAAAGTGGGCGGGGTTTTGATGGGAAGATGGAGATGGTGGAGGTAGGGAAAAGGGGGTCGTATCAAATCCACGTTGGGGGAGGGGGGTCGTAAAAATTTTTCGAAAAGTAGCAACGATAGGACCGACCCTGGGTGGGACACCCTATTTAGCTTGACGCGAAATCCCTATAGTACGCGCGCGACTCGTCCGCTGACTTTGCCTTCTTGCCGCGCGACGGGCCTCCTGGGGGGTACCCATGATCCATTTTTACCTGAACGCCTCCAGGAATGCCAGAGTGGTGAAGAAATGATCCGAGATTCGGATTTTCAGCAAAGACTATTTTGCAAGTATGGTTTGGCGCCCCCAGATTGCCGCCAAATGGCGCCATCGTCGAATAGATGTCACTGTCGTGTTTTGCGGCAATTTGGAGGCGCCAACATAAATTGCAAAAATTTGTCATCACGGAGGATCGAACTTTGGACCATTTCTTCCCCGCTGTTTTGACATATTGGGGCGTTCAGGAAAAATGGACCATGGTTCTGTGTTTCCTCACATGAGCCTCTACACGTTCAGAAAACCATTTTGAAAAAACGCTCTATATCTTGAAGATCTTTGCGTTTGTGATGTGGCGTCGACCAAATCCTTTTGTCAGTATTTATGCAGAGGTTATGGCATTTACTTCAGAGATCGGATAGCGACAAGATGAAGTACTCAGATGTCGACTATTTGACGACGTGGAAAGTACTGGAGGATTTTGTGAAGGAGGGCAAGGTAATGTTCGGGTTCGTTAATAAACTGGCGTCAACTTTGTTGAAAAAGAATTAAAATGGAATATGCCAAAAGTATATGCGGCTGTGCCTGTCTGCGCTTCACTCATGGACTGATTCCAAATTGATTTTAATGTCTCTGCTCCTGCATAACAGAGCTACCGGTAAAAGCACTTTTGTAACTACAGCGACAGGGTAAAGCCAGGAAAGAGTGAGTGGGCAATTAGGTTGTAACGACCAAAATATGTAGTAGTATGCGCATCGTTAAAGCGCGTCCTGGCGATATCCGTCGCTTGAATATGGCCTGAAACGAAGCATGATCTCGTACCGAGAAAGTGACCGCTTTTGTGGCGAAGCTGGATGGTCATATGCGCCGTGACGAGGCCTTCTCCATCAACTCTGCATTTCTCGTTGCCGCCTGCCGCGCTGCGATTGTCCTCCCAGTGCGGTTCTTCTTTGCTCGCCATCCTAAGGATTCTGGCGAAAAGGCTGAGCAAAGCGTTACAATACGGCGGGCACCGTTTAGCGCGAAATATGTGCGTACAAACAAGTGCTCCATATGTGGGTTTCAGGCCATTTCCTTTCGTTCTTCTTCACGGTGCTGTACGCCACTAACAGTGTAATTCGTCCACACGGCGACCAAGCTTATTATACGATCTGCCTTTGAGGTCAGAACACAAGTCTAGGCTAGCGACACTTGTCCGCGTCAGTTCAAAGTACATCCACCCAATCGCACATGTAATGTTCTGTTCCCAGATTTGATTTTTAGGAATTTCGATTTTTCTAACCTATTTGTAAAATTGTGTTGAACATCCTAGCAGTGAAGGACAAAATGAAAAAAAAAGTTATCTCATGTTTCCTATTCCTTTTTTGTTTAAGAAAAATGCCAATTTTCGCCAGATTCTGTAGGGCACGGTTATCTCACTTCCATCACAAAACAAATCGAAGGGTAGATTGCTTAGCAGTAACAAATCAAGCCAGCTGTGCTGCAGGTAGGGCATAAAGGCTCTTTTCTCACACTACATCAGGCCGAAGCTGAGACGTGTGGACGAAGGGTGACTTGAATTATTGCATCTCTTTGTGTGTTTAGTAATATGGGCTCTGCCTGTAGTATTTGAAAAAGAATTAACATAGGGCGGAAGTGGTGTAGTGGCAAGTGGCACGCTCACCACGCGAGCGGTCCGGGGATCAAATCCTGGGTCGTGAGTCGCCCGGGCCAACCAAGCCTTCCATCCCTCCGGGGTCGGTTAATTGGTACCAGTGGGAGGATAAAAACACTGACTTGTACATCGGCTGGCCCCCGCAAGTCATTGTATAGGCCACATCGCATTCAAACGCCACTACGAATGTACAAATGGAAGTAGAATGCGTGCCGCATCCCAAAAAGGGATTGATCAACGGCAAATGCTTTATCCTTTTACTTCGTAATTTATCACACTTTGTTCGAGTTCTCCTGGACAATCTGAGGTCTCGCAATTTATAGAGTCAAAGTAGAAGTTGAATTAGGGTCATCTATCTCAGGCGGTAGTAGAACCTTATTTTGGACAAATATTGTATTGAATTGCATTTCGTTTTGAATTCAACCCAGCAAAATACAAGAATAGAACGAAAGAGGGTAAAGGGTTCATCATATGCCCTTTTTGGGCACGCATTCGACTTCCATTTCAAATCGTGTGATTCTCTTGGGAATGCGATTTGGTGTATACAATGACCTTAGGGAAGCCGCTGTAACTAGTGGAGCGTTTTTGTCATCCCAGGGACCTTTGGCACAGGCTAAACAACTCCAGGAGGATGGAAAGTTCGGTTGGCCCGAATGACGTACGACCCAGGTCCCAGGATCTACGGACCATGTTTGTGGTAAGAAGCGCCACCTGCCACTTCAGCAGTTCAGTTTATTAAACTTTGAAAATGATAAAAAATGATGGGAACGTGCTGGCCCTATGTCTAGGATTCATCTTTAATCCATTATCTCCACAACTTCCGAGTTGACGAAAATTCCCTGGCGTATACCTTATTGAGATGACCACTCTAGAAACATCGCTTCATGTTCATTCTAGTGACAGTACATCTGTTATTTAGGTAGAACTCCATCCTTATTTCCAACAAAAGAAATTACGCGAGTTTTGTAAAGAAAAACACATCGCTGTGACTGCCGTACAGGTACTTTTCACTAATACGAATTTTTATTTTCTTCACTAAGTCAATTGCTGGTCCTCTAGGTGGGTTCTCTAGGTTTGCTTTTCCATTTTAAAAGACATTTTATAATCTTCCCATTTCATTTCTTGCGATTTTTGCGAATCTGTGCTTCTCGTGCTCCAATGTTATCCTTACTTTTATACAAGATAAGCGATTTTTCAGCTCCCTCTCGAATCCTGGTTCGGCGTTTTTCCGAAAAGCCGGCGATCCAAATCTGTTGACGGAGCCTGTATTAAAGAAGATCGCCAGTGCACATAATAAAGTGAGTAGAGGCATAGGATCGACTATTATTTTTTCTCATCTGATCCCCATTATTGTCATTTCGCACATCAGTGCTGTTTTCTGCTGTCAAAGGCATCTTTTCCGTACGAAGAACTCGGTGAAATCATGCCTATGTGGTTTTCCAAGCCCTTGTTCAGAGATTTATTTTCCGGAAGGGGTCAAGTTCATGAAATTTCTCTTCAAACGAGATCTTCTAGGTGGAAACTCTCATTTACACGTCTTATGGTTAGCTGAGAAATATTTTCAGTCATGCTCTGGCGTGCTATTCTCCGGCATTTATATAGGGTCCTGGCACTACAATTATAAAAGTGCTGCCTGAAGTGGCTTTTACCTACAAGCTCGCATTTAGGGCATCAAGGCAGCGCTCTGCTGGTGGTTTCCATATAGAAACATCTTCACTGTAAGGATCATTAGTTTTTGATGCATCTTCTTTAGAGTGTGTCATTAGGCTCGGTTTTAGCACGCGATTGTGTCAGTGGAGCAAGTGTTTCACGATACTAGCCACCTGCATATGATAGGGAGTCCCAGGGGAAGTAGTAGGGATTTGCCATGTATTGTGGGAGCCTACCTTCTGTTTTTGAAAACCAAAGCGCGTCGAGTGCAGACCACACACCACAAGTGACGACGGCCTCCAAGTAAATCTGGTTACTAGTGATTCATAGTGATAGCTGATAGTTGGTAAATGATAGTTGTAATTAGTGACAACTGATAGAATACAACTGCAACAGGCTAATCATTTCATTGGCAGAAAACATTACATTTTGTGGAGGCCGTCGTCACTTGTGGTGTGTGGTCTGCACTCGACGTGCTTCCGTTTTCTGGAACAGAGAATACATATTTTATCTGAATAGCTCTACCGTTTCCGATCAGTGCGTGAGTAGTTCGCCCATTTTAATGGCCGCTCTCAGAACAGCTAATCCCTACTGCGGTTTCATGGAATTCCCTGTCCGAGGACGCGAGCCTATTTTATTGGACCACTGCCAGTCAGTCTAC